ATGTAGATGTTTGAGGGATAGGGTTTTCAAAACATGCTGATTATACCTTTTGTGTTTGATAAGGGACTGTTTTTTGACCCTTTGTACACTAGTGCAGCATGCAGCACTCTTCGAATCCATTTAATGCCAAAAATTGTATGGTGGTTCAGTCTTTGTACAATTCACATATTATTCTGCCTTTAGCGTATTTGCCTAAGTTTTTTTTCTCAAGTCCACGTTGTCATAGAGAGATGCAATAAACATGTTATTCGCCAGAATCTTATGGACATTTCCTAGGTTAAATCACAGGTTAGTGTGTTTTCTCATCCGCAAATGAATGCTTGAACAAATTGCACAATCTTAACAATTTGTTTTTGTGATGCGTTCACCCCACTTTCAGTTACTCAATTTTTTTTATCCATGGTAAGGTAGAAAGGCGGTCGAATATTGCATGACGACCAGTGTGCATGAAAGCTTGACCTAATGACCAATATCATTTTAATAGTCGACGTGGAACAGTCTGATTGACACGTATATGCCTTATGTGCTGGAGGACATTTTCGCGCTGGCCATCGAACCGGAAGAATTTTGCAAGGTGAGCCTCTGCGTACAATACTAAATCTGTCTTTGTTTAGTGTCTCGAGTTCGTCGATAGTCGGACATTTGACATACCTGCTGACCTTTCCATTAAAGATTTTGACTATGAGATTTGTAACGTAAGTAATGGATATACGTAATGTGTGGTTACATGATGTTCTGAGGCTTCAAAACTATCAATCAATCAGTCAATCAATCAATCAGCCAATCAATCAATTTCGATTACCGCTTGTCCTTTCGGCTATCGGCGGAAGACATGTCAGACGGTGCTTCCAAAGTTCTCGATCCTGTGCCAGTGTTTGAGCTTCGGCAGAAGGCAATCCGAGCCTAGAGCAGAGTCCTTCGATACACTTGCTCCAGGTTAATCTTGACTATCAAGTGGTCTTTCTCCAATCGGTTGAACAAGTAGTGTATACTTGCTTCCCATTCCTTTCTAAATACGTTCGATTGATGTGTTTAAACCATCATAGTTATTGCTTATCAATCCGCTTTACACCAAGGCTCTCGGATTTCTGTACTCCGGACCATGTAGAGATACATCTCAAAGGACCTATTTCAGGCAGTTGAGTCCGAGATCGAAGTTTTTCGGTCATGTTTCAAGAGTCATCACCGTATGTGGGGCATCTGGGCGAACATCGACTTGAACAAAGACAACTTAGGCTACGACTTCAGACTTTGGTATGCTTTAACAACGATGATTAGCACTTGTTTACGCGAAACGCCACCGGCCATTCCATTTCGCCAGCCGATCGCTTACTCCAATTTTCCATCAACAGTAAACACGACTCCGAGGTATCTGAGCTTCTCCTTCTCCTGTTTCACTGCTTCTCCCCTTATGTGCACAGCACAGCAGGTAGGAGAACAAGGAAGAACTACTCTTCATTTTAGGCACGTTTAACGCAGTTCTGCCACCTCGCACTCAACTGCGTACCTTCCGTAAGATGCATCATCATCTGCGAACTACAAACTACATCTCCTCCTCTGATTAATTTGTCACCGTGGCTGCCCATGTCTATCCTCCCATGCACAACCACACGGTGC